CTTTCAAAAAGCTACGCTGTCCTTTCTTTTTGGAGGGCTAGAGAGATAAGTGAGCAACTAGCGGCAGCCACAAGGAGGGGCCGAGCCATCTGAAAAGACATTTCCTGCAAGGCTTCTTCCACCTTCCTTGTGCAGCTTGTGCTGATGGTGCATCTGCCCCACTGACAAAGGCAACTCAGGCCATCGTCAATTCTGGGATGTGTCACCAGTCCCCAAGCTGTCACAGTAACAGACAGACCAAAGGACCAGCCACAGGGAAGATGAGCAGGGCCTCTGCTCCACCACACACACACCCCACCACAGAAAGACAGTTTCACATAAAACCAAGTTCCAGCAGCCCAGCACTCTAGGATGGCAGATGTGACTCCTCAGGCTATAATATGGATTTCATGAGGCTCCAGATTTTTTTTTGGGCAGGGGAAATGACTTTAAAGCGAAATAAAACAGGAACAATACTACACAGAACTTCCTGGCTGCAAAGACAGTCAAATCTAAGTCTAGGAAAGTACATGCCTAGCCTTCCCTGCCTCTAACTGTGGCTGCTCGTTGACAAGACCACTGCCACTGGACCGAAGGCCTGGTTAGCTGAGACTTACTGATTCATCTATCCACAGGCGCTACACCCCCACCTCTCCATGTGCGCTCTTTCAGAAAGGCGGCTTTTCTGCTCTTGCAAGGTAATTCCCAACTCTTAGGTTCATCTAACACACAAAGCCGCCCCAACCTTCCTCAGGCACAGACATTGATAAAGTGACAAGTTTTAGCTCCTCTGTCCCCTGCCCACAAAAATACCTAAATAAATAAGTTACAAATAATCAGAGACCAGAAGAGATGGGGGGTTGTTTCCAGTGCCAGCCCCATAAATGTGACCCAGGGTGCTTTTTACCAAGTTCCTTCTCTAGCTCACCAAGGACCTGGAGGTGGGTCTGCCAGCGGCCGCTCCCTGCACTCCCCTTCCCAGCTGGTACCTCCCGCTCACCCACACCTGGGTACTCCACATCTCTATACTTTTGTGCGTGTTCCTCTCTGTACCAAGAAGGCCAATTCTCCTTCTTCTCTGGATAATTTCTATTAATTCACCAGACTCAGCAGAGGCCGTCCCTCCCTGCAGGAGGCCATCCCTGATTCTCCCCACTCCAGCCCCATCTATGCCAGGCCTTTGCCTCTGGGGAGCCACAGCACCCTCTAAAGAGAGTACCACCAAATCATTGATAACCGATCATTTCCATCAGCCAGAGATAAATATCTGCAGAACGCCCATCAGGCATGGTATGACAACAGAGCTTCCCACAGTACCAACAACTCCCACTGGGTCCCCAGCACCCAGAAAGGGAAGACATATCCAATGTACCGCAATCAGATGAAAGTCAGTGGGGAAACGTGCCTCAAATACTTATTAACCCCTAGTACTAGAGGTCTAGCTGCTGGGATTATTCCTAGATCCTCTGTGACTTCTCTGACCATGTCACCCACTAACCTTCCCAGTGGACCTTCTGCTCTGAGCAGGCCTGGCCTTCTGCACTCTTGTAAATGCCAGTGACTTTTCTTTGAGCTACTGGGTCTGCGGCTCCCCCAGGCTGAAATGCCTTCCCTACACCATTCTTTCCTTTGTCCATCCAAATCCCCAGTTACTAAAAAAAAAGGAGAAAAATTTAAAGGGGGTTAAATGTTCTTTAAAAAAAAAAAAAAAGAGAGTCCCACATCCTCCCTGAAGCTCTTCTAAAAAATAGGCTCACACTGTTCTCTCCCAACTGAACTGCAAAATAAAATTATTAACATATACAATATCACGTTTTAGGCATCACTTGTCTTAATATGGTACAGTAGAAAGAGCACTAGGCAATCGGGCGCGGTGGCCCACACCTGTAATCCTAGCACTTCAGGAGGCCAAGGCAGGTGGATCACCTGAGGTCAAGAGTTCAAGACCAGACTGGCCAACATGGTGAAAACCCATCTCTACTAAAAATACAAAAATCAGCCAGGCATGGTGGCGGGCGCCTGTAATCCTAGCTACTTGGGAGGCTGAGGCAGGGGAACTGCTTGAACCCAGGAGGCAGAGGTTGCAGCCATTGCACTCCAGCCTGGACAACAAGCGTGATACTATCTCTAAATAAATAAATAAATAAACAGCGAGCACTAGGCTTCAGCCTAGAAAATGTGATTTCTATTCCTTGTTCCCCATGAAATGATTCTGGGCAGGCTGTCTCTCTGAGCCTTGGTGTCTCCTCTGTGGAAAGGGTAAATTAATGCCCTACTTACCTCACAGGGTTTATTTTCAGACTCCAATGAGGCAAAGTTGTTAAAGTCTTCACAGCACACAGAGCTTGTTTTGAGACTCCGATGGAACAAGATGTGAAAGAACTCACATTTGAAAGTCTTTTGCAAATGCAACGAAATGATATGATGACCCAACAGTATTCTTGTGGTAAGCCCTTTGAAGGCAGGATCCATGCCTTGATTCTCATTTACTGTCCCATCGCTCCACACCTAACGGAGTGCTTATGCATGGAAGGGGCGACATTCAACACCCATGGACTCTAGAGCTTGAATGCCTATTAATGTTATGATCTGGAATATCTCCATTACAAGCTCCTTTCCACTGGGCTTAAACAAAATACACTTTCCTCTTTTGTACCCCAGAAAAAAGGTCCAGTAGTCTTTTATGAAATGGCTGTCTACGGCGAACCCCTTTGGGATACAGTCACAACCCTCAACATGGCTGGAACATCCTGTATTTGGCTCCAACTCTATGAGGGCCAGCACATCCCTGATCCTGCTCTCCATTTTGGCCTTCCACTTAATTCCCTCCCAGGGTCTTCAGACACAAATCCGTATGAGGCCTCTAAAGACATCCTAAATTCTGTAAGCCCTCTGCAAATAAGATCTCACCCTCTGAAAACACCAGTATAATTGTTCTCCTATGTAAGGAAGGGGCCTCTATATTTTTAGTTTTCTTCCCATACAACAAACACTATTAATACCATCGTACTTTCTCTAGAGATGATATGGATTAGACCAAACGGAAAGTTACCATGGCTACCGCAGTGTTATTTTTGGTATGAGAAATTCATGCCAAGGGAAGCAGTATACATGGTCAAGAATTGGAGCTTTATTTCCTCTTTGCTATCAGGCAATCAATCCCAATTTAATTTTGAAACTCTAATTGCAAAGGAAACTAATTATGAGCAGCAAGATCTGAAACCCCTAATTAAAGTGCGAGTCAATAAAGCAATTCGGCATTATCAATTGGGGTGCCACTGGCAGGATGGGGGATTAGGTACAAGCAGATTTCTTTCCCAAGTGAGTAGCTAAGCCAAATAAAAGAGGGAGACTCATTTTGAGGGTGCAGTTAGGGAACCCTAAGTTGGGACTGAGGGCTACAGTTTCCAGCGAGTGAGCAAGGTCAGGACTTCTCTCTGTGCTATGAAGAGTTTGACAAACTGGGAATGGAGTAGGAAGTCTGGCTGGAAAGAAGAGTGTTTCTACCAATAGTCAACCACTGAGAGTGGCCATAGTGGCGAGGGAGAAAGTGGACAAGCTGAAGGACAGCAGGTTCCAACTAAGCCCATATATTAAGTGGCCTTTTCTACACATTATGCAGCCTTGGGGCTGTAACTGCAGACAAGCAGGGGTGCCCAGACAGAATCTCATCCCTCAGACCCAGATATTTATAGGCTGACTCCCTCATATACCCAATGCTGAGTTGCACTTTTCTGAATTAGCAGAAGTTGGCTTGTGGAAGGACTTCTGTTAGAGTGAAATCTACTGCCAATCCCTGAAGTGCACCATACCCTTTGGGACCTCCCAGTCTATCTTGGAAGCTTTAAAATACTGTTAATGGCATGACGTCATCTGCCCCACACTAGAACGATCCATATTTAGGCCAGAAACCACATGGACCTCGCATCACTCCACTGGGCTCCAGGACAGAAAGGGGCTCGAGTCAGGAAGGGAACGCTTCTAACTGATAATTACTCATCCTCCATCAAATTTCTTGACAAAGGGACAAAGATAAACACTCCCACCAGAGAGCAAAATTGGCGGAAGCTCATCCTTTCCCCACTCTGCATATTTTTATGCAGAAAGGTTTCCTCCCACTAACAGATAGTTTTTCTGATTTTTTTAAAAAACATTGAGAAGAAGGAAGCATCATAACCCTGTTGCAGCTTTTTCAAAGGTAATGCACAAGCCAGTCCCACAGGAAAGGGAGCTCTGCTTCAGGGAGGGAAGGATTCCTTCAGAGCTTTCAGAGTCTAATTTCCCAGGAATAAATGAGGTCCACAGGCAGGCTTGGGCCAACAGGCTTTTTCCAAGGCAGGCAAACCCCAAGATCAACGAAAGCCTATATTAATCTTAATTCCTAGTGCGTCACAGGCAGGCAACACAGAACACAGGCATCGGCTTGAATTAGCTAAAGGAGGTTCTCTGAATATTTTTATCAAAATAGTGTATTGACATACAAAGCTCTTGGCACTGGTGTCTTACAACAAATGTTGAAATGTGAGCAGTAAAGACAACAGTTCTGAACTCTGAGATGTTTTGAAACCTGGCTGCAATTTGAAAGAAAATATTTTGTGGCTTCTGTACATTATATACATTATTGATATCTAATGGACCAGCAGGATCAACAGAGAAAAGGGTTCAGTCACCTTGCATTCATTACAACTGAAGGAAGAGAGACAGCGACAAAAAAGAGAAAGAAGAAAAATAGCTCTGTCTTATTGAGCTACTTTAGCATAAAATTTCAGCCTAAGGAAAACAGGCTGAAAAACAGCTTCAGCCCAAAACAGACAAGGAGCCCGCCCCAATCTGTGCCACTGGGCTCTGCTTCCAGGCGAGGTATACCACTAGGGGCTTTTGAAGACCCGCCAGTCAAGGAGAGCACCTCTGTTTTTACAACCAGCAAGCTGCAAACTTTTTCTATTGCCCTTTAAGAAACTAATGCTTTCAGGGCCCCCCGAAAGAGTTATGCATGTACTTTATTTCCAAACCAAACCTACCTTCACTCCAATGAAAGACTTGCGGTGATAGAAGCAGCACAGAGCTGCCGAGAGGGCGTGGAAAGCATTGCATTCCTTAGGCATCTTTCGGTCTTCAGTCCCGGGGAACACACACTTTCTTTAGGGTTAAAATAAAGGGGGCTTCAGATGTAAAAGCCCTAGCCCACCACAGCAGCTGTGCTGCTTCTGCCCAAGAAGCCAGGGAAGTCAGCAGGCAGGGGAGTGAGTCGGCTCCTTCTCCTGGGCTAGTCTGGGACTTTTCCCCTCTGCTGAAGCCAATACGATCCACTCGCTCAATTCTTGCAGGCTGGTGTCCAGCCTGCCATGCACACAGTGCCAGAAATTCTCATGTGACCAGACTTGCTTTCTGATGAAATTCTAACCCCTCTTAGGAGAGGCCTTAGGCTTTAGCTGTCCCCTCAATTTAGAGACCAGGCAGAAATCATTAGCGTCCGCCTTCCCGCCCCCTAGTATTTTCTTCTGAGGCTGAACTGTACCATGTAACCTGCTCCTAGTGGTTCTGTTTGCTTGTCACTTCAGCACCCAGGTGTCTAAGGAAGCAGGGCAAGTTGTACATATCACACCACCTTGTTATGAACAGAGGCTCCTTTGAGTAAAGGAGGTGGCCTCAAAGTGACTTTCCCTAGGAGCAATCCTAGATGTCCTAAGTAACCCAGGCAGGATCCCCTGTCCTCACTCTCCCAAGCCCACCTCCAGAGCTGTTTATTTTTAATTAAGATGCTCCTGGCAGCCAGTTTGCAACTGATAACATTGGCACAGCCATCACTATTGGCAAAGCAATATTGCCTTTTGGGTTTAATTAGCAAGTCTGTCAGCAAACACCCAGAGTGCCTTATGCCCTCCCACCTGGCTGTGCAACCTGTTGGGAGGATGGGGACTATGTACCTCCTCCTGACTCAACTGTTTGTCCTACGCCCTCCTTTAAATCCTTCACTTTAATTACTTGTCACCTCTGATTACCCACTTTGCGTAACCTAGATCCTGCACACAAACCTCGCATCCAACGCAGCCAGGCAAGGCCCTCCTGGATTCCCTGCAACGTGAGCCCTCTACCCCTACCAAGAGCCGCATAACCTTTAGGGAAAGCTAATTGCTTTTCCTCTTTCATTCCAGTTATAGTGGGTGCTCCACGAATCTTTTTCATTTTTTAAAATCAAATCCAAGTTTCTGCCTGTCGCTCTTCCTCTCGTATCCTACTGCTCCAAATACTAACTTTTTGTGGCTTCGGCCACTCAAAACTGGAATGTGTCCTGAAGCTTTCTACTGCACACAGGCAGAAACTTGTAATGAGGAAGAAACAAGACCTATTCAGTCCAGAAAGGAACAATACCAGATGGGGCATGAGGGAGGTATGAGAAATATCCAATGGGATTAGCATCAAATTCTCAAGAGACCTTGGCCTTTGGACTAGGCCAAGTCTGCTTGCAAAAATAGGAGATTGTTTGTTCTGGGCCCAGTGAGCAGGTATGGAGCAGGTTTGTTCTGGGCCCACAGTCACACGCCCATGTAAGGGCAAGGGCCTGGCCTAACCAATGTGTAGATATGGGGATGGAGCTGCTAAGTGAGGTTCTATCACCACAGGCCCAAGCGTGGGCGATGATTTCCTTTCTGCTGCTTCAACTGCTTTCCTCCCTCACTCTTCCTCTCTGACTCTGGAGGTCTGGTCTACAGTCCTGAGGACTCCCAGGCCACAGAAAGTCCACCAGGAACCTAGAAGGAAGCACCAAAAGTGGCAGAACTCAGAAGGGTTTTCTGAGTTGAAAGAGCTCTTGAAGACTGTCTGGTCAGTGGGTCCTCCAAGGTTTAGCACTGCACCTGTGAGGAAGTGTTTTCTGGCTTGCCCTCATTTCTGTTAGATGGGGTTCAAAGGGTAAGTGCATGTGAGCAGCCAGGCCCAGGTCCCAGCAGTTCTGTGGCCATGACTCATCAATCAAGCCTTTAGCCACCACAGAAGGGGCCATTTTTACCTGGTATTCTCCTTTGAGAGAAAATAACAATTCCTTAGCTAAAAACCTCCCCAAGAGGCTAGAAAGGTACCATTCCAGGCTGGGGAAAAGGGAGGGGAGCAGTGCCTGAAATCCTGCACAGAAATTCAGTGAGATTAATCAGCCAAGAGCTTTCGAAGCCCAGGCACCCTTCCCCAAGAAATTATGAATGCAATGCATTCCTGAAAGTAATATGCAAATACCTCAGACATGTAAATCACACAGAATTAAAAATAAAGTGCTCCAGAGCCAGGGTAAAAACAAAATCAAAGACACTTAGGCCACTCTGGAATCACAGCTCTGGTTACCTGAGGATTTCTCTGTTTATTCTAAGAAATATCTCCAAAATACCCAAAGAATTTGTTCCACTAGTATTAAATAATGGACTAATCTTATTAGGTAACTGTTTTCTAAGCACTTTTATTTTTATTCCACACCAAAAATAATTTCTGAAGCAGCACTCAAAGGTTTTAATCAATTTTCTCCTGAAACGGTCAAGGAGAGAGACTAAAATAACGAGTTGTTTTTGTAACTGAAGATGATAATTGCATGAATTCTCAAAGTGTCCTTCACTGACTTGTTAAGCTTTAAAACATCACCTATTTACACTAATCAATTCCTCCCATTCTCCCCACAATGATTATTCTAGTTACAAAGAAACAGAGGACTAGACCAGTATGCCACTCAGCAGAGAACAAAGGGCTAGGGACTCCAACCTCAGACTGCAGAACCTGGTATCTGATCATATAGAAACACAAATAGATATTTAAATGTCTTATGATTAAATCTGTTACACAGCCCCGTGAAAGGGCTGTGACCTGGGGCAGTGGGCCACTTTCTGATGATCTGGTACATGGAATTGGGGACTCATCAAATTTGGATGCAGGGCTTTCTAAACACCAAGCCCGCTTGGGGACAGAGGAGGGCATTTCTTTTTTCTTTTTCTTTTTTTTTTTTTTTTTGAGATGGAGTTTCGCTGTTTTTACCCAGACTGGAGTGCAAGGGCACGATCTTGGCTCACCGCAACCTCCGCCTCCTGGGTTCAAGCAATTCTCCTGCCTCAGCCTCCTGAGTAGCTGGGACTACAGGTGCGCACCACTATGCCCAGCTAACTTTTGTTTTTAGTAGAGACGGGGTTTCACCTTGTTGACCAGGATGGTCTCGATCTCTTGACCTTGTGATCCACCTGCCTCAGCCTCCCAAAGTGCTGGGATTATAGGCGTGAGCATTTCTAAGGAACTCCCAGGGACTGAGGAAGGGAGGGGCCCAGTCAGGCAGCTCTGAGCTCTGGAAAAGGTCCCGAAGGGTGAGCACCACTACGCCTCTCTGACTGCCTGGAAGGCCTGCCCCTCGGCACCGAGGGAAATAGCTGTGATTAAAGCCAGGGCTGGGAAGCCAGGTAGGTCCTTGAAGGAAACCTCCATTAGCTCAGGTCAAATGTTGCCCATCCCCTAATTCAAAAAGAGGGTTAAAGCAAGCCAGAGGAAGACCCCTGCATAAGCACTGCCCTCAATGCCAGTTTTTCCTTGGACAGCCCTAATACTAACCTTCCCCGTTTAGTAACCATGGAAACAGGAGCTGCCTGCCAGCCATATTCAGCAGACACATGCTTCCTGTTGGCAGCAGCCCCTCAGCTGAGAAGGGCCAAGAGAGTGAGTGCAGAGTGCTTTTCCCAAAGCGCCACGGCTCCCGCTAGAAGGTCAGGCTCCCAGTGAGGTGGACCCTCTCTCTGCCAAGGCACGGAGGGAGACGGCGGGAGAAAGACATGCCTGCCAGGTACCTGCTTTTCAGTGTTTCAGCACATCTGGAACACAATACTGCCCATAGCCCCAAACCCTCCCCAAAGCCCCCCAGAATCAGGGCATCAAGGCTTATACTAAGGCACTCTTGGGCTCTGTCAAGCAGCCCCATGGACAGTGACTGCCCATGGCTAAGGACAGTAACTCACCCCAGGCTTCAAGGCCTGGCTTGTTCCTGCCTAAAGGGATGTCAGTCAGGGTGAACACCAGTCATCATGATCAAAACAGCTCAAAATATCTTGTGGCAACTACTGAGATCCTTGATCCTACTCCCTCTCCCCCAAAGATCAGTGCTTTCTGGCTTTTTGCTTCCCCTAAACACCAGTGATCTGGCTCTCAGTAAACAAAGACTAAATGAGCTTTAATGAGATAGGGCATGAGGCTGATGGAATCAGCTCCATCTCTCCTCATGCCATAGGAAGTAGACAATGATTAGCCTGGACCTTGCCCGGCCTAGCACCAGCCTGGTGTCACAGGGAGGAGACCCTCTGCATATTTGGCTCCCTAGAGAGCAGTGTGGCAGGTGCCTGGCAAGCCTAGGCAGAAAAGGAGGCAAGCTGATCTGCAGCCCTGCTCCTCAAGACTTCTCCAGTACCTACCCTGTCTCTGCCTGATTCTGAAAGAATAAGCCAGGAGCCCAGACACTTTCCCACAAAGAGCGAGAGGGCCTCAGGGAGAAGAGCTGGGAAACCAGGGAGGACAGGAGGAGGACTTTGCGCAAGAGGTCAGCTCCTCTTCCAACCAGGCTGAGTAGCTATGGAAGCTGTCAAAGACAGTTCCACACATTTCCCTATATGCAAATCTGATTGATTTCTTGCTCCAGAAGGGAATGCAAACGAGACTCTGGCCCCCTTTGTGTATTGCTGTGGACAAGACGTTTGCCTACCCTGATGAACAGAGGGTGCATTCAGCAGTGTTTGCTGTACATATCCGGGTTTGACAGTTTCCCCAGATTCCTCAAGGGGATGAAAGTATGGCTGTTAAATGGTCTCTATCCGGAAGCAGTATTGATCTGCCTAGCACACAAACAGACACTAAGTACAGCAGATTTCTCTCTGCTGGGCCTTCTGTCTTCCCTTACAAATTTGTTTCTCTACCTAGCTATTAAAATTGTATAACTGAGTAAGTGAAGCTAAATTACGCACTCTGCTCTGTTTTGCTTTCTTACACTATCACACACAATTCTGCCCGTGCACCTCTCTACCACTACCACGCAGTTCCTGGTGTCACCCCAAAAATCCTGTATTACACGAGCTCAATTTTCTGTTTTTAGCATTAAGGCAAAAAAGAAAAAGAAAAAAGAACACATACAGGACATAATCCCAAGCTCTCAAATGGCAGACTCACTATCTGATGATCTTGGCCTTCTCTGAGATTCGATGAAAACCATGGACCCTCCTTCTAGAGCAAAAGACACATACGTGCAATGCTTTAGTATCAGAGCGTGTCCAACCTGCCTTATTTTGTTGTTGTTGTTCCGTTTTGTTCTGTTTTAGGCATTTAACAGCCTGAAGCCATGGGGTTGGTTTTTTTTTTTTTTTGAGACGTACTCTCAATCTGTCACCAGGCTGGAGTAAAATGGCATGATCTCGGCTCACTGCAACCTCCTCATCCTGGGTTGAAGTGATTCCCCTGCTTCAGCCTCCCAAGTAGCTGAGATTACAGGCACGTGGCACCACATCAGCTAATTTTTTTTTTTTTTTTTTTTTTGTACTTTAGTAGAGATGGGGTTTCACCATGTTGGCCAGGATGGTCTTGATCTCCGGACCTCATGATCCGCCCACCTTGGCCTCCCAAACTGCTGGGATTATAGGCATGAGCCACCATGCCTGGCCAAAGCCATGGTTTTTAGTTTCTGTCTCTAGTGACAAGTGGAAAAGAGGGATGAAGGGACTTTACTGGTCCAACTAGAAACAGAAACTAAGAACCAATTCTCCCTCTTGGACACCTCTGCTTCAGGGGATTCTTGTATCCACTAAAGCCCATCCATATACCCCTTGGAGTCTTATCCATCCATGATGATTCACCACCTACTTCCCAAGATTCCATTTCTTCTACACTTACTATGCAAACAATTGCACCTGGAGCAATCACTCACTTCCCCTACCATCTCAGCTCCTGGGTTTTCTTTGCTGTACACTTTTCTCTTTCCCTTTCCTTCCACTTTTGGTAGGCATGAGCTATGTGAGCAACTAACAGGCAAACACCACAAAGCCCTTCAGAGGTCCCTCCCATGCAGAGTGCTACAGAAATGGGCAGAGGGGCATGTCCAGGGCCCTCTGGAGGCCTTACCAGCCAGGAACAGCTGTCTCTCTCCCATCTCCACTGTCTCACAAGCACCTCTGTAAAATGGCATCTTCCAAAACTGAGCTGTGAGACAGACATCCGCTCATCTTCAAAACGGCTCTGCAACACACCCTGGAGGTAGGAGACCAGCAGGAGAGCCACGACGGGTTCCAAGCTTCACCGCCAGCTAGCTGGGTGACCTTCGGAAATTAACTAACTTCCTTGAGCTTCAGTTTCCTCCCCAAACTTACCAGGTTATTGTGAACATCAAGAGGGATATCACATGGAGGCCCTGGCACCCAACACACAGTAGGCAGTCAACAAACGTGAGCTTCTTTACCCCTGTGAAGGGAGGGGCAACAGACCCCATCTTCCCCACTGTGCTCGCAGGGCACAAGCCCACCCACATGCTGGGCTACAGAAACCATGCCTGTAGCCATGAGAAAAGGGTAGACACCCACCCATGCCATAAGCCACTGACCAACGGCTGGCTCCCAGCTGGTATACTTAAAGCTGATATAATAAGGAGACTTTTAAGAGCTTTTAGCCTTAAATTATATGTTACTCATTAAATTTTAAAACTGCTTATTAAAATACCACATATGGTTTTACTTACACTTGCTCAGATGTCTCAGGATTTTCTACTCCAGAGTCTGTCATGTTAGGAGTTGTTTAACAGGTGGCAGGTGTTTACACAGCCCACGTGATCCTAATCCTCCTGGGTCCATCGACAGCTAGCTCTCCATGTACCACCCTTGTCTGAGCCACTCTGACTGGGAATCCTGTGGGTTCCCTCTGCCTATGGGGCCTGGGTGGTACCCCTCCTTTCCCACTGCCTTGGGACGAAGCTGGCTGCAGAATCGGACTACAGCCTCAGTCCTGATTGGATGCCCTACAAGATCCTCACTCCTCTAGCCCCACCGCCCCCTCCCCTGGCCCTGCAATTCAGCCCTGGGAACGCATCTTCCATGTGGGTTTGGCATCCCCAGAGAACCACTTCCCATATGCCGGATGCCTTCATACTTCCCTGGCCTGTATTACTGGGTTGTCTGATATCAACCATTCCTAGAACTATAGCAGTGTCTGGTATAGCTCCTTGGATGCTGTGACCCCTCTGCCTGCCCTCACTAGACTTTCTGTCTGTGTCCTCCCAGACTGCCTTCTGCCTAGACTTCCTTCTCTCAAGCCCCTGATGGCAAGAATCTGCCAGTTACAGCATATTTTTCCAAAACCACGCATCCCCATGCCCACCCAGCAAGGCTGCCAAGTGCCTGAGTGGATAAACCAGCCTGCAAGGGATCACCTGCCTAGGAAGGCAGGAATCTAGGGGCAGAGGGCGGGGTCTGCACTAGGTGAGAGGTGGAGTCAGCAGTAACCCCACCCATTCCAGCCTGGAGAGAAAATGGCCTTATCAGTCGCTTTTCTGCTGTCAAACAAATTCTAGCCATGTAAACAAACTATTTCAGTGGGAAAATATCCTTTTTTCATGGTCATAAGCTGATCATGGGCATTACCATCTGAGTGATGTACTGGATAATTCTGCAACCTGCCAAAGTAGCTGAGAATCAGCCCAGATTAGGAATTCTGAACCTAGAGGTGGACTGGGGCTTCCATGAGCCACTAGAAACCGTATACAAACTGTTGTGTTCATTGAGGAGAGGGGTTATTACTTTTACCCAACCTTAGAGTCATGTGACCAAAAAATTCCTTCTGATCCAGAAAGATTTGTGGCTCGTGGGAAGGAAAGTAAAAAGACTCTGGTGATCACGGAAGTGAGTGAGGACTGATAAAGCACCCTTGGCTGGCCAACATGCAAATTACTCAGGCCATAGCAGGGATGTGGTTGCTATGGGGGAATAGACAGCCTTGGGGCGAGTATTGCAGTTCCTCACTGCTTTAACCAGCAAGGGAACCTCTTCACTCTGCAGGTGGAGGGACCTTGTTTGCATATTATACTTAGGTTAGTAAATTCAAAGAGCTACAAGTTTGACTCTCAACAACCCCTCCTCACCAGACTTCAGAGATGCACTGAAGAAGCTAGCAGCAGTTACAGACATTGTTTCACCTCACTCACCCTGTGTGCAAGGTCTCCAGGAGCCGGCATTTCTACAGAGAACTTCTACCATAGTGTCCTATTTCATACGCACACTAGGAGAGGAGTATTATTTCTCTATTTCACATGTGGGATCAAACAGCTCTTAAAGTTAATGATTAAAACAACAATGAATCAGAATGTCTGGCTCTATCTGGTGTGATGAGGGAAGCATAGAGAACACCTTGTCACCAGAAGCGCTTTATCTTACGTAAATCTGAAAGGCAAGCCTCTCACCAACCAAGGGACAGATACTCTTGGCAACACAGACAGCAGGTCACATCTGTAATAGTCCATCAGAAATCCTAGCCCACTCACAGCTGAAAAGGAAGGGCAGGGCTGGGGCAGATGGATGGTGACGTCACAATCTGAGAAGAACGAGGAGGCAACAAAATCTTACTGCACAAGAAGGGCTAAGGGACCACCTTTGTCATATATCGAAACACAAACAGCACCCTTCCTCTACAGGAAGAGGCCGACTCCGAGGGTTCTGCACATGGAAGGACCTCACTGACTGCTGGCCAGTTTTTTCACTTCCTAACGTTCAACTGCCAAGCACAATGCTGTCCACAGGAATGACATCCAGAAGGCCAACATCTGCCCTTCCTGGTGCCAAGGTGGGGACAATGAATTCCTTTTGCC